CCCCCCCCCCCCCTCCGCTCGCGCCACGCACGGCCTCTGCACTCATGGTGTGTTGGCCTTCCCAGGGAGTACTTCGCGAGGCTCAGCGCCTTCGTCAGGTCGCTCGACCGAGATGACCCCATCGCAACCGCAGAAGCGTTACCCGCTACCGCCGCCGCCGCTGCCGAACCCATAGCGAGCGCCACAAAGAACCCCCCGGCCGCCGCCGGGGCGGGGGGGGCCGCGATCGCCAACGCCGGGGGCCCCGTCCTCGCGGCCTCCTCCGTGTTGGTGGCGTCTGGTGCGCCGGCCAGCGGCGGCGGTGGCAGCGCATCGGTGAACGGGGGGCGATAGTGACGAAGCAAAGAGAATAGAGGCGTGGGGGCTCCGTCGGGTGTTGAGGGACTAGCTGCCGTTTCTCGAACGGCCGGTATTAGATAGCTCAACTTGTAGCTTTTTCTAAAGAGAAAAGCCGACATATTTCGAGAGAAGCCAGTATTTTTTGTTTGTACTCTGTTTTGTAGGTAGTGCCTGTTAATTTTTTCCTGTTATTTTTTTTTAATGCACATGAAGTTTGTGCAACGTTTGTTTGTCATCGTTGAGAGTGGCCAGGCTGTGCCATCAAAACCCGTGGGAAAAGGATTCTGTCAATCTCAAGCGATGGGCTTATCAAATTTGTTGGCTTGAGAGTCTGAGGTCACCGTCAAACGGACCTTGTGTGCTGTAGCTAAGGATGAAGGCATTACTTGTAGATGCTGGAAAGCGAGCTGTCGGCCGTTTGATAACACGTACTGCCACGACCCCTTATTGTTAGCACAAAGCCGAGGGGTGATCCAGTTTTCTATGTGCGACAGTCGAGCGCACTGCCGCAAGACCGTGGCCTTAAAAAGGTGATGGCGGAGTCAATCGGCACGCACGAAGCATAGTTGTGCGTTTTTTTTTTTTTTTTCGACAGCATGCGAATTGGGTGAGAGCGATGTACATCCCTTTCCAAAAAAGCGCTCGCTCCGTAATAACTACTCGATAGGGTTGTGTCGAGAATGTTATATCTTCGTTGTATAGACACATACATGTTGTCGTCGTCATCGCGGCTTGACCTCTTCGCTGCTAGTAGCGATTGGTGGGGTGGGTTACCTATCCCCGCGTTTCTTCGTTTTCAAGGCCTTTTTTGTCTCTTTTCCGAGATGCACCGGTTGATCTCGTCTCTCCTGACTCTTCTCGAAAATGCAGGCGAAGTGCCTTCGTCTTTCGTGCGACGTGTGCTCTTCGACACGCACCTGACTCAGCGTTAATTTTCTTTGTCGTTTTAGTTTTGCCGCCTGACGGACGGGCGACTTATAGGCGGCCCTATTGTCTGACAGATGATGATGCGCGAAGAAAATAGAGCTGGTTGGGTGAAAAATGTTGGGCATATGTTTTTTTGGTCGTGTTGCGAATGCGATCGTAGAGGACGCCGAAGCGTACGAACCCGGTTCTTCCGTGTGGTGTTACTGGCCGCCTTTGATGGCAGCGGTGCAACTGCTGTGTACCTAACGACTTGTGACGGAAAACATTGACAGCTTTAGTCCTCTTTTTCTTTTTTCAGCGAAGTGTCGGGTGTGGTGAGTGAGGTGTCGTTCTTGTGACAAAAAGCTGACTTTTAGTGCATCGCTGCGCCACACTATTTCCTGCTGGCCGGGTGGGATAGAGGAAGCATTTTCCTGTCCAAGCCCGGAATGGCTGTACCGTGGTAGGCAGGCGGGTGTAGTTTGGCTGCCCCCCTCGCCATGAAGCGCATTTTCCTTGTTGTGCCTCTATTACCCAAGCGTGTGGTGGGGTTCCTCTAGCGTCAGAGCTTTCATCATGAGGCGAACCGTCTTGGAAGCGTGGGTGTATGGCGAAGGGTAGAGTGCCGTTGCTGCGTGAAAGCGACGTGCGTTGTTTTAAACCGCTTAAACCGCCTTTTGCAATGGGTGTGAATCGGACTGACAACTGTCATGGTACAAGCAGATATCACACCTCGTACCATACCCAATACTACCGTAAGGATTTTAGAATTGCATCACCGATAGGAATTAACAATCAAGAACGTAACGGATGACACGTCATTTCCGGATGGGCGTCCGAGAGAGATCGCACGGGGGTGGGCACGTTTTTTGTTTTGGTGTATGATTGCTGGCCGTGCAGCGCATGGTTGCGTGCTGCCTCGAGGAAGAACTTGAGCTGCAACAACCACCCTGTATCAGAATTAGCTCAAGCCATAATGCGCTATTCCATTGCTGCACAAGGTGTTGTTATTGCAAGTGTGTCCAACGGTCAAGTTCATATGAGTGATACATCTTAAGCAGCATTTTTGTTTGTTAAAGGACTCTTGACACTTGCGATCTATTCCAAAAAGTATAACAGATTTGCAATATTGTTTTACACGAAAACCGGTCACCACGCCGACGGTTGGAATACCATGCACCTCACCTGTTACGAATCATGTACTATCTTACGTGGTGGTACCAAAGCAACTCTTTTTTGTTGCGGGAAATCAACAGCTTCCACCGTAGTACTACAGCAGTAGGCGACGAAATATATCACGCCCACACCCCGTTGATCGATCTCCAAAGCTCGATTACTTCACGAAGTCAATGCAAAAAAAATGAAACGATGCGATTGATTGCGGAATGAATGCTGTAGACAAAAGAAGCTCCGAAGCCGCCGTTTTTGGCGCCGTCACCCTTTCTTCCGCTGTGGAGAGATTGTGCTTTTGTACAATCTGTCCAGGGGGTGTGATATCTTGTCACTTACTATGGGGAATTCCAACAGAAAGTGAGTAGAACTCCAGTATCTCTGCCAACAAAGGTTCAAAAAGAAAGACTTGTTTGGGTGCGGTAGCTCGTCAGAGGCCGAAAGAGAAAGAAGGTTGACTCAAGACCTTGTTGCTCAGAGAGTGAGAGACATGCGGCAGGAAACACCATCGCCATGTAGCATGTCCATCAGTACACACCATTCGCGTAACCCCCGGAGGCCCCGTAGACAGTAACTCTGCCGAGCACCCCAAACAGCCCCCCTGCTCGGTACGAGTTACGATCTACGAAATCCCCGTCACACGACTATCATTGCCAGATAAAACGGCAGACAAAAAAATCAAAGCCCCTATGCCAACAACAAATCATCCACCATTCCAATCCAAACGACTCTCTCTGTCAATAATAGCATATGTCCCACGAAATCGCCGGATCTTCCAACAGAAGAACACGTCCGTCCTCCAAAGCTTTCAAACCTTTTTGATGTCAAATTTCTACCCCGAAAAGGTCTGTCAAGGAAAACAAATCACCCTCTTGAGAAAAATGTTCTAGCAAATTCTCAAGCGGTCAAAACACGAACAATCACCATTGGAAAAATACCCAGCAAAAAGATCAAGATTACTACATCAGAATCACGTCAGAACGGGGAGGACGGGTAACTCCGGGAAAACAAACGTGCTGTACGTCCTGACTACTCAGAACAAATTCATTCCTCAGAAAAATATTCATGTTTCAACTCATTGACCAGTTGAAGTAACGAGAACATGCCAAACCCTTCGATATCCAATACCTTGACGAAGAAACCAGTCCGGCAGCCCCCCTGCTGTAAAATCCATTCCATCCTGAACATGAAGTCAAAATCAAAATAATCAATCAATCCAACAGCCCCCTTGCTGCAGCATTCATCCCGAAAAATCAAAACCAAACAAGCAAACCACCTGCGACTAGGATCATGGAACAATACTCCCCCCCCATGATTCTCACGCATAACTATCCCATCCATCGCGAAAAAAGCAGAAATCAACATCCAACAGCAGATCAAAGGCCAGTTCCAGGTCACAAATAAAACACATGATGTAAGAAAGCCCCCCCCCCCCGCTGAAATACCCTATATGACACAAGATAACACACCCCCTGGACCGATTTTCGAAGCTCGATTTCTCAACGACTAAGAGGATGCATGAACGAAACGATACATTTTCGAAAAGCTCTCGACAAGACGGTTTTAACGCCGCCGTTTTCGGCGCTGTGACTGTTCCGGCAGTTGAGAAATCGAGCTTCGAAAACTGGTCAAGGGGATGTGTTATCTTGTGTCATATACGGTAGTGCAACACAAAGAACAGAATCAACGAATATTCATCACGAATCACGATGCGCGCAAGAAGTCTCCTTGGGCAGCGGTTTGGTCAAGAATCCGTGCGTTGCAGGTCCGACCGTACGTGGACTACCTTAAATTCCCCCCGCGCTACACGCTCACGGATGAAATGGTGGCGAATGTCGATGTGCTTCGAGTTGGGGGTGGTAGCCGGGTTACTGGCCAAGTGAATAGCGCCTACGTTGTCCTCCCACACCGGAGTCCACCCCACATCACGGCCCGGAAAGAAAAATTTCCACAGATACCGCAGAAAAATAGCCTCCTTCATCCCATCAGACATCACCACGTACTGCGCTTCCGTCGAAGACAGGGTGGCGCTCTTCTGCGTCCTACACAGATACACCACACACGCACCAGCGAACATCACTCGACTAGTGCCCCAGGAACAGACCGCCGGTCGGTTGCCTTGTTGGCGAAGTCCGAATCGACAAAAAGTTCCATGTGGTCTCCTCCCACCGTGCCCCTTCGAAAAGTAATCTCATACCCGCTCGTGAATCTGACATACATCAAAACATGCAAAGCCGCCTGCCAGTGCAGTCGCTTCGGCGCGTGCGAATGCCTCGCAACGGCACGTACCGCGTTGAGAATATCCGGGCGAGTTTGATTCGCCAGTCACATCAAGTTTTCCACCAGCGACCGGAAAGGCTCGTCAACATCGGGCTCGTCGGCGTCGTACTGCTCAATCTTCAACCCAACGACCATAGGTGTTTCTTTGTCCGTCGTCACACCGAACTTGGCAACGGTCTTCTTATCGAATGCTCGTGATGGAAGGACACGGGGAGAAAGTCTCAAAGAAGTCAACACCCTCACGCTGCGCAAACCCACGGGCGACCAACCTAGCCTTAGCACGCACAGCATACCCAAACTCGTCTCCCTTCCATGAATACACCCACTTGGCGGAGATGACGTTCGTCCCTCGTTGCTATTCCGCCCCGACCTCCTCGAAGGTGCCCACTGCATTCAGCCCGAAAAACTCCTTGCGTTCGGCGTTGGTCCAGATGTGGTGGTGGGGCCCCGCGTGCGCCTCCCCGTATGTCTCAGGCGTCTCCAGGTCGCACACCAGCCCCGTCGGCAGGGCTGGCTCAGCGACGCCCGGTGCAGGAAGCTCGGCGATAGACCGCTTGATCTCGTCCTCCGTGGCTAGAAGAGCAAATATCCCCGGCCCCGGCCCATCTCGCTTCGCCCGCGACCTCGTCACTGCGGGGGTCGCTACGAACTCCCGCTGCTCCTGCAGACGCCCGCCTGTACANCACCAGCCCCGTCGGCAGGGCTGGCTCAGCCACGCCCGGTGCAGGAAGCTTGGCGATGGACCGCTTGATTTCGTCCTCCGTGGCTAGAAAAGCAAATATCCCCGACCCCGACCCATCTCGCTTCGCCCGCGACCTCGTCACTGCGGGGGTCGCTACAAACTCCCGCTGCCCCTGCCGACGACGTCCGCCTGTACCGCCCTCATGCACCATCTCCGTCCACAGTCCGTCCGATGCCATCGCCGCCGAGTGCGCGGGGGCAGGTGTGGCAACAGGTGCCGCAGATGTGCTCACCCGCGAAGGCCCCCCCGCCATCCGCGCAAGTTCCGCCAACACCGCGCTGCGCGCTGCTCCGCTCTCCACCATGCTCTCCGGTTCCGTCATATGCTCATGCTGCCGCTGCTCCGTCGACGCCGGAGTTTCCGCCGATACTACCGCTCCGCCCGCCGCCGCGGGGACCCCGGCCATCCCCCCCGCCGCCGCCGCGGGGGGAACACTGCCACCGGAGGTCGCCGCCGTCGCCGCTGGAGCTGCCGCCGATGCTGCCGCTCCGGCCGCCACCGCGGGGCCTCCGGCCATCCCCCCCGCCGCCGCCGCGGGGGGAACACTGCCACCGGAAGTCGCCGCCGTCGCTGTTGGAGCTGCCTTTGATGCCGCCGCTCCGGCTGCCACCGCGGGGCCTCCGGCCATCCCCTCTTCGGACCCCCAAGAACTCCCATCTCCTCGAAAGCCCTGGCTGCTAAAGCCGAAGGTGCAGTGTTCAGAGTAGGTGGGCACCCCGGCGTGATGATCTTGTGCGTCGCAGAGGAATGATTCTGGCCTGAGTTCAGAAGAAGCACCGCTCCCCCTTGCTGTGCATCTTGGACGGGCGGTGACGGTGACGGAAGCCGGGCATCATGAACGGCAGAAGCACTCGGATCCTCCTCCTGCCGTACAGCTTAACTTCCGGGCACCGCTTGTCTTCCTTGCTCACCTCCGCTGCGATGTTCAGAGAGTCGTTCATCCACGCGAAGGCCTCGGGCCAGATGGCCCGGAAGGACGGCGCCTTGGTCGGGAACGTAACTCCGGGGAAAGACTTCGGGAACTCCAGAAACGAAGCCTTGCCCCCCTCCATCACTAGTGCAATCCTCCGCTCCACACGACCGTTGCTCTTGGGCCCGTCGACCGCCGTGAGCTCCCGCGTAATGTTCAGCTCCGCCAGCAGCCTCCGAAACTCCGCGTTGACCCACTCGGTTCCGTTGTCGGTCAGAACGCAGCCCAGCCCTCCGCGAGTAGCCAAGGGCGATTTGATGGAGGCATACCACGCACGAAAGGCCGTCACCACGTTTGTACCGCTCTTCTCCCGCAGAAAGCAAATCCATCCGTAGTCGGTATGGTAGTCCAGGATCTGCATCACGTACTTGGCACCGCCGCTGGATTGGCCGAACGGACCGGCTAGGTCCATCGCGACACGCTCAAGAGGCCGCGTCGTCCGGCGGGAGGGGGAGATGACCTTGGGGACCGAGCGCTGAATCGCCTTCGACTCCGCACATCCATCGCAGTACTCCGGAGTGCCGGTCACCTTGATACCCATCTGCTTGGCAGTCTCGTACAGCGTCTTGGAATTGGCATGACCGAGGGAGCAGTGAAGAGCGTTGTAGTCGATGCTGGATTGCGTGCCAGGTCGTCGCATCGCCGCAACCATCGCGGGGGGCTGAGGAGGTGAGTCGCGTTGAGGCAGTGGATCAACGCGAGTCCCTGGATGTAATTCCCGTGAGGGAATTTTGTCATGCGCACCCGCCCCCCCAAGATCGACGCTCTATGCCGGTTAAGCTCGATCTCATGGCGATCCTGGATCTTGTTCAGTGACATTACTGTTCAGCGACATAATATCTGCAGGGTGACGCGCACGTCGTTAGGGCAGTGGAAGATCACATCCAAGTCACCGAAAAACTCTACCGGGATGTGCTTACCGTCGCCAAGCATGAGTAGTCGCTCCTCCGGGAGCGGCGGGCGCCTGTTGTACACCTTTTCCCCAGCAGGGACCACGTGGACTACGGCGCCGGTGTCTCCAAGGAAGACCGTCGAACCCGGGGGATGTGGGAAAAGGTCGGGTGTTTCGTGCACGGGGGGGGATGAGGTACCGGAACAGACAAGGTGCATCGCAAAGAGACCACCACCGAAGGTACCCTCGCCGTCGCCAAGCGTCTCAGGGCCCGCTCCCGCCGCGTCACCACCGCCGCTGCCGCCGCCATTTTCACCTTCCATGCCGGCGCCGCCGTGGAAAATGTCGACAAAATCAAAGTAGGGCTCGCCCGGTGTCACGATCTGCTGCTGTACGGTCGCCCCACCGCTACCACCGCCATCGCCACCGCCGCTGCCGCCACCGCCACCACCACCGTTGCCGCCGCCACCAGCGCCGGCCAGCATGGTGTCACTGTAGTATACGCCATCGGCCGCCGGGACATCACGAAATTGGACGGCCGATGTATCCGCGGTGGTGTACGCGTGCTCCGGACCGAGGGCACCAGCAGAAGTGACGACGTTGAGGTGGGGGTGCCGGTTGCTCTTGGCACAGTTGCGCCACATGTGACCGAAGTGGCCGCATGCACCGCACGTGCCCTCGAACCTGCGGGGGGCGGCGCAATCTATGGCGTGGTGACCGTGCCTTCCACAGCGGCCGCATCTGTGCACTGTGCCCATCGGCGCGCCAGGTGGAGGTGGTGACTCCGGTTGATGATACACGGCATTACTACCGCAATCGTAGATGCCACCAACACCGTTCATAGCGGGTTGTTGCTGCTGCCGCTGCTACTGCGGCTGCCGGTACGGCTGCATCTGCAACTGCTGTTGGTATGTCTGTTGCTGTCGCATCTGATGTTGCGGCTGTTGGTACGACTGTTGCATCTGCACCTGCTGGTGCGGCTGTTGGTGCGGCTGTTGGTGCGGCTGTTGCACCTGCCGCTGCGGCTGTTGCGGCTGCCGGTACTGCTGCACCTGCAACTGCGGCTGTTGCGGTTGGACAGCACCGCCCCCAGAGGACCAGTGTTGCCCGCGGCCGTCGCCGTTGTTGCCATTCCGCCGTTGGCCTCCGCCCCCCCCGCTCCCCCCGTTGCCGCCGTGTCCGAAACCACAGCCCACAACAAGGGCATGAGGGTTGGCAGAAACCGCCGGCGTCGCAGCTGCCGACCCTCGCTCCCTCATCTCGCTGGCCTTGAGCGTGGCATATCGACCACGCACGACGTCCTGCAACTCAGCGCGGGTTAAATCACGCTTGGAAAGACTGGTGCGCTTCTCAACATCGTAGCGTGCGGGGAGTTGGCCCACAAGGATCTGCACAACTTCCTGCTCACTCTTAGCAATGCCCACAGCCCGCAACTTGGTCTCCAGTTGTGGGGCGCACGAGAAGAACAGCTTGGGGTCTTCATCATTATTCATGGTAAGATTGTCTAGCTCGGTGACGAGAAGCTGACAATCAGCTGGGTGGTTAGGCAAAAACCAATCCCCCATCATCCTCCACGCTTCTGCCACGGAATGGCAAGAGTACAGGTTGTTCTCAAATGGGGCCCCCACCGCTGCCTCCAAGATAAAACTCCATGTCCTCTTGTGCTCAACAACCAGCTGTGCACCATACTGGCGAGTCAAGTATCCTTCATCCTGACAACTGACAACGGGAACCTCAGCACTGCCGGAGATTGTGTGCTGGAGATTATCGTTGTCCACGTCGGCCAGAAAGCGTCTCCGCCAACTGAGAAAGGTGTCGGCGGTACAATTTGACGGGATTCTAGGCACAGGAGTTCTGACAATTGTATCTCCCAAAGGCAAACCCGGCACCCCAGTACCGCCATCATGACTCACCCTGCGTGGCCACATTGGCCTCACCGGTCAGATGAAGCCCCTCCAAGAGCAACTAGACCGTCGCCTCCTGGGCTGCTGCCGGCAGGTGTACCCGCCGACCACCGCTGTGCTGCCCTAAGCTCCTCGGTCTCAGCCTTGGCCTCCTTCGTCTCAGCCTTGACAACATCTATAGCTCGTAGCGCCTCATCCAACCTAGCGCGCAGAGCTGCGTCCTCCTCCGTTCCAGACAAATCAAACTAAAACTCTAAACCCTCCCTGCTGTCCCAGCCTCGAAGCGCTGTCCCAGCTATTAACCCTGCTGTCCCGGTCCCCGCCATGGCCACCGCACCAGCTATGCACTGCTGTCCTCGCCCCGATGGCCCAGCTCCCACCGCTCAGACGCCAATACCCACAACCGACACCAGGCCTCACAATATATATTGTGTTTGAGTGCGGTAGCTCGTCAGAGGCCGGAAGAGAAAGACGGTTGACTCAAGACCTTGTTGCTTAGAGAGTGAGAGACATACATGCGGTAGGCAACACCATCGCCATGTAGCATGTCCATCAATTCATACCATCCGCGTATCCCCCGGAGGCCCCGTAGGCAGTATACTCTGCCGAGCACCCCAAACACGACTCACTCAGGAGCTCAGGATGTGTTATTATTGTTGGCACCGACCGCGCTAACCGGCTGACCANTAGTACTCGAGTTCGTTTAGGAGTACTTTCACCAGTGTCCTCCTTGTTTTCGCTACCATCATTCTGATCCTCATTTTGACAAGAATCTCTGGGCAGTTCTTCCCTAGCCCTACGATTTTTGTTTTGGGGAAGGTCATCTGGCTCAAACCCTTTGCACTCTTCCACTCCTCCATGTTTTCCTCTTCCATCGTCGTCTTCGTCCTCCTTGCTTCCCTTTCCCTTTCCTTCTTCACCGTCACTCCCAAAAGAATTACCCTTATTACTATCGTTGTCGCAGAGATCCCAACCGATTGGCCCTGGTGGAAGTTGGTCGATCAGTAGCCCATGACGTTTGAACACATCGCGAGTTCGCATCGACAGAAAACGAGCTAGCTCGAAGGTAAACCGTCTCCAAATCCTGTTAGTATGAAAAGCTTTCAGGCGAACTAATGCTCTTTCGTCGTCAAAATTCCCTCGGCAAAAAGCTTCGTGCGCCAAGTGGTTGGCGATAGCAACGATGAGTCGATTGGTGCCTTTGCCAAGACCACCATTCGTTGAAAAAGCAAGTAAGGAGGGTAGATCTAGACGGGTTGAAGGTTCCCGCATAGTGATTTGCCTTACTTGCAGCTCGATCTTCGAGGGCGGATCCTGGCTTTTGCATCGACTTGTCGATGCTTCGACCTGCGGATGGGTCGACGATTGTTACGTCTATAAGAATGGACTTGGTGCAGAGTGCCTCTTCCTTCTCTCCTGCGTGTAATCCTGGGAGGAATACCAAATCCATCTTGTATAGCCCCTTCCCCCCACCAGTGCCTGTAGTAAAAGGGTAAGAATCCTCAACGGTGATGTGCATATGGCGCTCACGCAGTGCCTTGAGGACTACGCAAACCAACCTGTTATGGAGGAAGGTTGAGGCGCCGGTCTTGGTGCAGACGAGGGAGTGGGCTCGGCTCAAGCGGTCCTTGCATGGTAACAATGCACCTGCACCACAAAGTTTGCCTGTGTCGCAGTCTGCTCGATCGTGACTCCCCAGCACTCGACCG